TCTCTCTCTCTCTCTCTCTCTCTCTCTCTCTCTCTCCCCTCTGTCACTCTCTCTTTAAAAAAAAAATCTTGCTTGTGTCATTTGACTATAATTTTGCAAGAGGTTATGGTTGGAAAAAAGTGTATAGTGTACAGGGGATCATGTTGTATTATTTCGTATAAATACATGTTAATCTAAAATCATTTCAAAATAAAAAGTTTAATTTAAAAAGTGAATTATAACTGATTTGCATTAAGGATGCTGATGGATCCAAATTCAACAAAGCTACATATAATATATATCATCTGAAACTCACTATTCGATGGAGAAGAAGAATGTTGGTCATTGTCATTTCCCATTACAGCAGGGCAATTCATTATCTCAGGGTTGTTTTCCAGGCTGGCTTCTTCTATTCCTGGCATATCTACAAGAAAAATATTTTCAAGAACCCTCAACTATGAATTTATACAATAGCCAAACTATCTTTGAATAACATATGGGGAAACAAAGACATTCTCACATACAGGAAAACTAAAATTACTTATCCCTCACAGACTTATCCCTAAAGAAAGGCTAAAGAAAATCTTCAATCAAACAAGGATATGATGCCATGTGTGGTGGTGCATGCCTGTAATCTCAGCAACTCAGGAGGCTGAGGAAGGAGGATTGCAAGTTCAACACCATCCTCAGGAACATAGCAAGGCCCTAAGTAATTTAGTGAGACCCTGCCTCAAAATAAATAAATAAATAAATAAGTAAATAGGTAGATAAATAAATAAATAAATAAATAAAAAGGACAGAGGATGAAGCTCAGTGGTAAAGCAATCCTCAGTAAAAAAAAAAAAAGGGATATGATAATGAAAATTAAAAAAGAGAACAGTGAAGTCTTAGAACAGGAATGAGGGTAAGGGAGGAGCGATGGAACACTGGAGGAACAGCAGAATGATATTAACCAAATTATGTCACATGCATGTATAAACATATCACAATGAATTCCACCTTTATGTATAACTATAATGCACCAATTTTTAAAAATCAACTTTAAAATATTGGGAAAGGAGAGAAAAATAAAGCAGAAAATATGAATGCAGAGAAACCGTATCACTCCTATATAGCTGATAAGAATACAAAGTGGTCTAGCCATGCTGGAAAAGTCAGGCAGTTTCTCATTGAGCTAAACATGCATATGGCCAAAGTCATCAAATTGTGCACCTTAAGTACTACAGGTATTTATTTATTTTTGGTACCTAGGATTGAGCTATTTCCATCACCAGCCCTTTTTATTTCTTATTTTGAGACACCAAGTTGCCCAGGCTGGCCCAGAACTTGTGACCCTCCTGCCTCACCACCATCCCAGATAAGTATGTGCAGGTTTTGCATATCAATGTTATGATTTGAATGTGTCCCCTCCAAAATTCAGCATTGCTGACGTGACAGAATTAAGAGAAGAGGCCCTTAAGAGGTGATGAGGGCCAGATGTGGTGGCGCATGCCTGTAATCCCAGTGGTTTAGGAGGATCACAAGTTGAAAGCTAGCCTCAACAATTTAGTGAGGCCCCAAGCAACTTAGCAAGACCTTGTCTCAAAAAATAAAAAAGGGAAGGAAAAAGAGGGAGAAGGGGAGTTGCACGGAAGATGGAAGGAGAACCTCATTATTATACAGAATATATATATGATGTTGTAATGAGAAAAAGAAAAAAAAAGTGAGTCACATTAGATTGGATAGAGAGAAAGGATGGGAGAGGAGGGGAGGAGTAAGGAGGATAGGAAGGGCAGCAGAATAGAATTGACAATATGATTGATGTATGTACATTCCATGTATGTATTATATGTCAAAATTCATTCTGCTGTCATGTATGACTAAAAGAAAGAAAGAAAGAATTTTAAAAATAAAATAAAAGTCAATAAATAAAAAAGGCCAGGCATGGTGGCACACACTTGTAATACCAGTGGCTCAGCAGGCTGAGGCAGGAGGATCACAAGTTCAAAACAAGACTCAGCAAAAGCAAGGTGCTAAGCAACTCAGTGAGATCCTGTCTCTAAATAAAATACAAAAAAAAAAAAAAAAAAGGGCTGGGGATGTGGCTCAGTGGTGCTGAGGATCAAACCCAGGGCCTCACACATGCTACTCGAGCGCTCTACCACTGAGTCACAACCCCAGCTCCTGTATCGCACACAGTGGTGCTGTGGCTCAGTGCCCCTGAGTTCAATCACTGGTATCCAAGATACAAATAAATAAGAAAGAAAGGCTTGGGATGTAGCTCAGTGATTAAGTGCCCCTGGGTTCAATCTCTGGTACCAAAAACAAGAAGTGATTAGGCTATGAGGGCTCCTCCCTCATAAAGAGTGTTGAGGTCCTTACAGAAAAGGTTTCATGCAGTGGTCTCTGAGTTTGCCTTTCTGCCTTCCAACATGTGAGGACACAGTGTTCCTCCCCTCTGGAGGAAGCAGCACTCACCAGACAACTGAATTTACAGAGGCAAGGTTTGATCTTGAAATTCCCAGCCTCCAGAACTAAGAGAAAATAATTTTCTCTTCTTTATAAATTATCTGGTCTATGGCATTTTCTTATAGCAGCATGAGTAAACAAAGAAATCAATTATGTCTCGATAAAGTTATTTTTATAAAAACTAATAAACAAGGGGCTGTGGGTATAGCTCGGTAGTAGAGAGCTTGCCTAACATGTATGAGGCCCTGGGTTCAATCCCCAGTACCACATGTACACACTAAAAAAAGAGAGAGAAAGAAAAACTAAACATACACTTAACATGTGGCCCTCAATTATCCTCCTGAGAATTTGTGTCAGAGAAACAAAAACTTAAATTTATACAAAAATCTGTACATAAATGTTCCTAGCAGTCTTAATTCTAATAGTCGAAAACTAGGAAAAAACAATAACTAAATTCCCTTCAATGGATAAATGGTTAAACCATGGTACACCTATACCATGGGGTAGAGTATTCAGCAATAAAAAGGAAGGAAATACTGATACACACAATCTGGTTGACTCTCCAGTGAATGATGTTGACATGGAGGACAGATCAGTGGCTGCCATGGGTTAGAAATACATGAAAGCAGAAGGGAAAGGCGGATAGAGAGGAATGAGTTTGCTTATAAAAGTTGCAATACAGGGGCTGGGGTTGTGGCTCAGTGGTAGAGTGCTTGCTTAGCATGTGTGAGGTCCTGGGTATGATCCTCAGCACCTCATAAAAATAAATAAATAAAGGTCCATGGACAATGAAAAAAAAATATTTTTAAAAAAAGTGCAATACCATGTATGAAGACTTGAATTGGGTGTCAACATATTTTGTGTACAGAGATATGAAAAATCATGATATATGTGTTTAAAAATAAATAAACAAATAAATAAAAGAATTGTAATGCAAAAAAACAAAATACATGTATAAAGGCATAAATTAGCATGAACATACTTTATATACAGAGATACGAAAAATTGGCTCTCTATGTGTAATAAGAATTGTAATGCATTCCACTGCTGTCGTGTATTTATAAAAAAAAAATAAAATCAATAAAAGGAAAAAAAGTGCAATACAACCTTGTGTGATAGAAATGAACCTTGTGATGATATAATGTTCTGAATTTTGAACCTTCTCAAGTGATAAAATTGCACAGAACTAAATTCACAGACACACAAATTAATACAACTACAGTTTCACAAGATGTTACCATTGAGGGAATCTGGGTAAAGAGTATCCCTCTGCATTACTTCTTAAAACTACACATAGATCTACAGTGATCTCAATATAAAACTTTTGATTGAGAAAATAACACTAGTTTACATGCCGGATTTTTAAAATCTAAGTTAAAGAATGCCATTTATACCATATGTCATTGTAAACTCACCAAAATTGGGAGGGATGCAGACACACGGCAAGGTAGCATCTGGATTCATGCCCTCATTCCCCACAACGGCCAGGTAATCCATCTCAACATGGCTACTGGCCACGCTGGTTTCTCCTGGTGGCAGAACTGCTATAGGTGCTGCTATGTCAGGCTGGGCAGGTGGGATGACATTGTTGGTACTTTCCACACCTCCGCTGAAAATGCAGGATACTATAGTGAGACCAGGAAGTGGGCTCTCTGGCAGGAGACATGGCTGCAACGAATGTGTGGAGACAATCCTGGGAAGGGATGAAGTCTCCTGGTGATCAGGCTGCTGTAGTTCAAGGCACGCTTCAGGCTGATTAGATGCTCCTACAGGTTCCTCCTGGGCACAGTTCGCCCAGTTTTCCGTTGGCACGGATGTGCTGCAGTTTCCCTGTCCATGGAAGAACAGAGAATGAGTTTAAGATCTTTTCTTCAGTACATAGGCTTTAATTTCTCCACAAGACACACAATCAAAACTTCCTTGTGTGAATCCACGTGACGTCTAAAATGATACCAACGCAGTATAAACAACTGTGAGTAAAAATGAGAATTAAAAAGTTGGTAGAAACATTCACGCCTATATTCCTTTGTCACATCATTTTCTACTGTTAAGGGCATATGCCAGATTTACAATATATGGATTTTATTCCCCCTTAACACTACATTTTAATTACATTTTATACATGATGATTCTTTTTTGTTTATCTTTTAGTTGTTGATGGACCTTTATTTTGTTTATATGTAGTGCTGAGAATCAAACTCAGTGCCTCACACGTGCTAGGCAAGCGCTCTTCCACTGAGCCCCAGCCCCAGACCAATACATGATGATTATTAATGTAAAAATACTCAGTGTCACTGAGTTTGACACTCAGTGTCAAACCTAAACTTCAGCTTTCTTTCAACAGAGTTTTCGTCCCCCATGTGCTGCTGAAGTATAAATAAGCCTTGCTAATCTCACAATTACTAGTCCTTATCACTTCTGGCTGACAGAGGTTTGCCAAAGTTGTAAAATGTTCTTAAAATACTTACACACTTTTGCATTGGTGATTTCTCCCAAGACTGCTGCATTTTTGAAATGATTCCACAAAGCTGGTTAACCTGCCTATTTGTGTTTTCAATAAGTTCTTGCAAACCCTATTAAAATTTAAAAAAATTAGTAATTCCTATTTCAAAAGGAAAGTCAAATGTGTGAAAATGCCATTAAGCCAAATTTAACTGCTAGGTACAGCTAAAGTTGTCTAGTCATCAAAAACATTGTGTTTCCTACTTGAGGCCTGATTGTGGGTGACACGGAGCCCACCTGGCTGAAACAAGGAGCCTCCACTGCCACTATACCACTATAGCCCACGCAGACACTGGAAGAAGCAGCTCCAGTGCTGTAGGTAAATGTGTCACAGCCCCTCTACACCATGGATGTGGCCATTTCACATCGAGGAAAGTGCTATTTTAAGGAAAGAAGTGTTCATATCTACCAAAAGTCCAAAAAGTCACCATCCACACAAGGACTTAAGAACTAAAAGAAGCAAGCATTCCTTAAAGAGCCAAATATAACAGATGTGACTTTTGGCTTCACAGTACTTTAAAATCATGCAGTAAACAATTAATCTTATAAAACCACTGAGTACATGTCCCCTATGTGCCCATCAGTATGTGATGACACAAATACACAGAAATTTCAGGCAAAACCACACTTAAATAAAAGGCCAGAAACATTTCCTCAGTCATTCATTCAAATAAACATAAAAAAGAAAATTTTATCTCAGTGTTTCAGACAATTATATTTAAGAGAAATCTTAATACCTCGCAGTAGTGCTGAAGTTCCCTAAGTTGATGTCGAGGATTTCCATCATAGAAAGCTCCAGATACATTGCTCCCCTATGAATATTGCAAAACAAATTGTCAACGCTTAACATCACTGGAGCCAAATTAAGCCCCAGAAAACAATAACACTTTAAATAGTTACCCATTTTAATTACTTTTACTTTTTACCTATGTTCGAAAGGATTTTGGAAGTCTAATAATATAAAGCAGAAATAAAGTAAGACCAAAATCCACATTGTTATGAAAATGAAAAAGAAAACATTGATTAATAAGGGATTAAGGAGCATATACTCTGTAATCCCAGAAACTCAGGAGGCTGAGGCAGGAGGATCACGAGTTCAAAGCCAGCCTCAGCAAATGCAAAGCACTAAGCAACTCAGTGAGACCTGTCTCTAAATAAAATACAAAATAGGGCTGGGGGTGTGGCTCTGTGGTTGAGTGCCCCTGAGTTCAATCCCTGGTAGCAAATAAATAAATAATAAAGACTAAAAATGAAAGAATTTATTACATAAGAACCAAGGTTTTAAAAAAGCTACTGAATATCAGTATAAACAGTTTGTAATATGTATAGATACAGAAATATAGATTTATATGTATGCATGGATCAGGATATACAGGTTTATTTCCAACCTCTGTGCTCACAATGGTATAAGAGCAGCAATGAACACACATACTATCCAGATCTTGGTTTCTAAATACTATTCTCCAGTGAAATAAACCAAGGTTCCTTCAAAAAAAAGTAAATTTCAGGGCTAGGATAGAGAAAGTTCAGATGAGCCTAGAACATCTTATGATTTCAGAAAATAAGAAAGTACTCAAGTAAAGGGGGGATGGGGAGTCAGATGTGTGGCACATGCCCATAATCCCAGTGACTTGGGGGGCTAAAGTAGGAGGATTGCAAATTTGAGGCCAGTCTCAGCTACTTAGCCCTAAGCAACTTAGCAAGACCCTGACTCAAAAATAAAAAGGGCTGGGGATGTGGCTCAGTGGTTTAGCACACTGTCCCCACTACCACCCCCTAAAAAAGGATGGGAGTAGGAGCCAAATGGAAGGCTCTTCCAATGGCCAAAGCTGGAAATTTAAATCAAAAATAAATAATGGTGGGCTGGGGTTGTGGCTCAGTGTTAGAGCACCTTGTCTCACATGTGTGAGGCACTGGGTTTGATTCTCAGCACTGCATACAAATAAATGAATAAAATAAAGGTCCATCAACAATTTAAAAAAATTTAAATAGCCTTGCACATGTGGGGTACTGGGTTTGATCCTCAGCACTACATAAAAATAAATAAATAAAGATACTGTGTCCATCTACAACTAAAAAAACATTTTTAAAAAAGTGTCAAGGTTCTGAAAGGGAAAGAATAAGGAACTGTGACAGACTGGGAGAAGCTAATTTCACTACTAAATTCAAGAGATATGAGGAGAATGGCAAATTCAAACACAAACATTGACTGTGCCAATGTCAACTCCCTAGTTTTGATTACTGTACAATTACCATAATTTTATGTTGTACAGGTAAATTAAAATTAAGGGAAGCCATGTGAAGAGTATACATGAAAACTCTGTAATATTTTTATAACTCTTCTAAAAATTATTTCAAAATTAGGAAAGCCAAAGAAATAGGGTTTGAAATTGGTGTCAATTGGGCTGGGGATGTAGCTCAATGGCAGAACACTTGACTAGCATGTGGCAGGCTCCGGGTTCTATCCCCAGCACTTGAAAGAAAATGCTATGAATTTCCTTTTAGATAAGGAAAGAGGGAAACAAATAGTAAGAAATCATTGTAAATGAAAAGAAGCATACAAATTCAGGAGAATATTTCCTTGAGCATCTGTTCAGAGTAAGTACACAGTTATATGAAGACTGAAAAAAAAATCTGAATCATTTTCTTGGTAAGTGTGAATGTATTTTGCAATTAGCAACACTACACAAGTTTTCAAAGTCTATAGACTCATTAATGACACTTCCACCTTGTTCAGAGTCAGGTACTGTAGTCATGTTCTTGTCTAAGGAAGCCTTATTAATAAACCAAGAGCAAAGATAAAAGAATAAACTGAACAAAACGCTCAGGACTTCTCTTTCATTTTCATGAAGCACCAAAGCCCTATTCGTGATATCAAAGGACTTCCACCCATTGTATACATTATGGCTACACAAAAAGATGTACTTGCAGAACTGTGTTCATTTTCATCAAGTTTACTCCCTTCTATACTGCAGGGCACAAAGGCTAGTCCTCTAGTAATCTATCACCATTACTGCTTTCAAAGCAAGTACTTCCAACCATGAACAAAGAACTAAATGTTTCATAGTTTTTGATTTTCAAATAATCCAACAGTGACACTCCGTGGACAAGATAGGAAACACTTGAGCACTTGTTTTTCTTGATAAATTAATCTCTAAATCACTTTAAGTCCTTTTTTGGAATAAAACAGGGTATAAATAAGTAAATAAATGGCAAGTAACCATTACATTTAATTATTATTTTTAAAAAACATTTATTTTTTAGTTATAGGTAGAAATAACATCTTCAGTTTATTTTTATATGGTGCTTAGGATCAAACCGAGTGCCTCACGCATGCTAGGCGAGTGCTCTACCTCTGAGTTACAACCACAGCCCTACATTTAATTATAATAACTTTTTATTCTAAGGATGAAATATGGACTATCAGGATAATTTAAATGCAAACATACTGAATAGTCATCAACGTATTTGTTCCAAAACACATGATTACAAATGACCTAAGGGCTGTGGTTGTGGCTCAGTGGTAGAGCACTTGCCTAGCATGTGTGAGGCTCTGGGTTCGATCCTCAGCGCCACATAAAAATAAATAAAATAAAGGCATTTTTATCCATCTACAACAAAAAGAAATTTTTTTAAATGACCTGAATTATCTCTGAATTGCACACTTATCAGACAGCCAAAATTATATGACATTATAATACAGACCAATAATTATAAATACAATACTACCTTCATACCCTTGTATAGTGCTTCATGCTCTCAAATGTGCTTTCAGATGATTGTATCCAAAACCATGACACTTGGTAGACAATTAACATTATCCCCAAAGATTAAAATATTGGGGTTGATCAAAGTTGAGAATTTTCTTACCACTTATATGACGTTAATACCCATATCCTTATGTAAGTGCATTTTCTTTTAATCCCAATTATATAGTTTAATGACCTATTGTATTTGACTTTCAGAGATCAAATAGTAGAATATAATGAAAATGTGAAAAATATAACCACTCTAGAAAACTGTTTGGCACTTTCTTAAAAAGTTAAACTGTCTTCTACTCCATGACCCAGTATTTCTACTCCTGAGTGTTCATTCTAATTAAACATAAACATATGTTCACAAAGAGATTTCCATAAGCATGTTCATAGCCACTTTACTCATAACAGCCAAAAACTGGAAACAACCCAAATATCCATCAGAAGGAAAATAGATAAACAAATTATGGACGTCCATACAATAAAATACCAATGAGCAATAAATATGAATGAAATATTGATATTATAAAATAAATCTCCAAAATATCATTATAAGGAAAAGAAACTGAAACACAAAATATATAATTCTATCTGTGCAGCATGCTCCATTTGTACAATTATGTTTATATGAAGTTGTAGAACAAGCAAAATTAAGGTAGGATGGGAAAACCACCAAAATAATATTTCCACCAAGGTTAGAGAAGATAGAAACTTCCTAAGAAAGGTGTATGAGGGAACTTTCTGGGCTGATGGAAATGTTCATTATCTTGATAGAGAGATATGGTACAAATATTTGTAGAACTTATTGAACTGCACATTTAAGACCTGTGCGTTTCATTGGATAAAATTTAAAAAGAAATACAGCAAAATGAGAAAAACAAAGATTTTCACTTTAGTGTACAAACCATATTATTGTCTCTTGGAGTAGATGATCGTCCTCTTTTCTGCAATGGCATAAAATCCAGCCCCACTGAGTTAGCACTGTATCTTTTTAAATTTGCTGGACGATTCATTAGTGAAAATGCTTGTTCACCTGGGACTACAGCACCTTCAATACCTGAAAAGCAATGCATAAAAAGGTCACTTCACACTCAGCCTACACAACTTTAATGTTGATATGCTCTGAGAAAACCACCTCAAACTAGAGTTCTGATTGGATTTTAGAGGGTGACAAAACAAGAATTCTTCCATGAGCAATTCAGAGTAAGTATTTTAAAACTGAAGGGCTATATTGTCCATGCCCAGGAATGTAAATCAAAATCCAGTGCAATTCCCAAATGTGAAGTGAATGCTTAACAACTTAGAAATCCCTAGAGTGAGTGCTGGGACAAGTGAACAGAACACCATTGCTAACTGCTTTTGTAAAGGAGCTCAAAATGGCTGTGTGTGTGTGTGTGTGTGTGTGTGTGTGTGTGTGTGTGTGTGTGTGTGTGTGTGTGTTGCTAGAGATCAAACTCAGGGCCTTGTGCCTGCAAGGCAAGCACTCTACCCACTGAGCTATATCCCCAGCCCATCAAAAGGGCTCTTGACCTGGGGAGGCAGCATGCCTCTAAAAGGAGCACCAGGAGTCAGCTCTGGATTGGGCCCCACCACTGCCACCGTGTGGAGGAGAGAGACCCCTACAGACACTGCCTCCTCACCTGCACGTGCAAACCTGTTCAGAGCGGCTCTAAAGAAAACTTCACCTCTAAAATTATAATTGCCTTATTAGACTGTACATTAAACCTACATAAAAGGATGTGAAATACAAGCCAAAAAGTTTAGAATTCTGAGGTTCACTTATGGGTCTGAGTTATTTAACCATGGAGCCAGAACAAGACACTGACCACAACAATATTGATCTTGTACTAGAAATTCTATTTGAACACCTTACATCACAGATACTGGGAGGGGCACATTAATCAATATCACATATATCTACAAGAATGGGATCCTAATTAGAATAAGTTACATTCCATGTGTGTATAATATGTCAAAACACACTCTACTGACATATATATCTAAAAACAACAAAAAGCCAATTCACTCTAGGCAGGATGGCGCACACCTGTAATCCCAGTGGCTCCAGAGGCTGAGGCAGAAAGATCACAAGTTCAAAGCCAGTCTCAGAAACTGAGCAAGACCCTAAGAACTCAATGAGGCTCTGTCTCTAAATAAAATACAAAAAAGGGCTGGGGATGTGGCTCAGTGGTTAAGCACCCCTGGGTTCAATCCCTGGTACAAAAAAAAAAGGTAATTCACTTTATCCATCCAGAGCAGCAGTGAGAGACAACTTAAGGGATTCAGGTTTCATTGCTTTTGTGTTTCCCCTTCATTTTACCGTGGAGACACTAATGACCAAAGACCCAAAGGAGAGAAATCAACAGGAGATAAAGGAGACGGGAGAGTTAATCCCAGGTCAAATGAATGCAACCTAATGTCCATCTACAACTAAAAAAATATTTTTTAGCAATATTTTTTAGGGCTTTTTTAGGGCTGGAAATGTGGCTCAGTGGTTAAGCGTCCCTGGATGAACCTCACAACCATAAAAAAACTTAAGTAAAAAACAGACACAAGCCAGGCATGTTGGTGCATGCCTGTAATTCCAGTGACTTGGTAAACTGAGAGTTCGAGGCCAGCCTCAGCAATTTAGCAAGACCCTGTGTCAAATAAAAAATAAATAAAAAGCACTGGCACCCTGGGTTCAATTCTCAGTACTAAAAAAGAGAAGAAGAAGAAAACAACAAAAAAGAAAATATAGTGATGATTCAATTCATATAAAGCAAAAAGCAGGCAAAAGTATTCTATGGCTGGAGAAGTCAAAATCATGGTTACCTTGCAAGAGGGTCAGTGACTGTAAAGTGATGGAAGTAGATTTTGGGGAACTCACATTTCCTGGTGTGGATACTTTATCATTTGAAAATTATCTAAGCTGTATGTTTATGGTGCATGCATATCGTGTATGTAATCAACATCTATAAAAAGTTTAACCAAAAAATTCAGCTCCTTATAAAACATTCAGAATCTAAATAGGGAAGTAATCTGTCACCAATAAATATTGTAAACCTTAGATGTATTTCCTTCTTTTTTTCTTATAAAATTTAAATCATAACATACATATGTTCTGAGCAATTCTGCATGTCACTTACAATTTTTAAAGTATTTTTAAACGCCTTCATAGTATTTTTACATATGCCCCTAGGTTATGTTATCTGTTTTCTATTAAGTGACATTTACATGGCTTCTAATTTTAACTATATTGATGTAATGATGTATACAATTCAAATGGAAATATTTCTGCACATTTCTGAATAGTTCCTTATAATCTGTATCTAGGAAAATCATTGAGTCAAAGGTTATAAGCATTTGGAGGATTTCTGATAGGTGCTGCCAAAATGTCCTAAAAAGATTACACCCATTTGCATTCCAAGAAGCCTGAAAATGTAATGGTTTGTCTCCATTTTCACTAAAGTGAATTAAATTTTTAAATTGCTAATTTGATAATAAAGGTTTAAGTTTGTCTACCATTTTAATTTGCATATCTCTCATTATGAATTCAGCTGAATATTTTTCAGGTGTTTTCTATCCATTAATATTTCTTGTTCCATGAATTGATATTTTTCATATCTTCCTCTCATTGCCTAATTGGGGCTTCAGTGTTTCCCATCTAATATGTATGAGGCCTTGAGATTATTATCTTTAGGACAATAATCCTTGAAAATGTACAATTGCAGCAAACACTTTTCTCAGGTGGTGGTATGATTTTGGAGTCCAATTTTTTTTTAAGAAAGGGCTTGTTTTTTTGTGATTTTTGTTTGTTTGTTTGTTTTAGTTATTAATGAACCTTTATTTATTTATTTGCTTAAATGTAGTACTGAGGATTGAACCCAGTGCCTCACACATGTTAGGCAAGCACTCTACCACTGAGCCACAAAACCCCAGGCCAGCTTCTTTGTTTTTATTTCATCACACTCATTAATATTTGTAGTGATTTCTTTAATTGCTCTTATATTGAATCTTTCACTAGGATTAGACAAATATTCAACTGTTTTCTAGTTTTTCCATATTTCTCCTTATTAGTATTCAACCCTTTAATCCATCTCAAAATTATTCAACTATGTGATGTGAAATAAACTCTAAGAGGCTGCCCCCCACCGTAGCATAGCATCTGTCACAGCATGATTTATCCTCCATCTTTTCCCATGTTAGTGTCTTATAGTACATTAACTAAAAATTTTTTATTCTGATTATGAACTTTCCATTGAATTAAATCTGGCTCCCTATTTCAGAGCTAGTATCACAATATTTTAATAATTGTACCTTTAAAATATTTTATTATTTAATATGGTAAATCAACATCTGTCCCAGGTTTTTTCTAAGTTTTCTTAAGTTGTATAAAATATTTTTTCACATCCAATAATAATTTGCATCTTTCCACTTGAGCCTCATTTTATGACTCTTGGTATTCACATTTCTTTCCTACAAGTTCTGCTATTTTTTGTTAATTCCTTTAGATATTTCTTGTAATTATTATCAGTGGAGTATATTTTTTCCTAAATATTTTCTAACTGCTTGAATATGGTATAAGAAAGCTATTTGTTCCAATAACTTAAAAATTAAGGGCTAGTGTTATAGCTCAGTGGTAGAGTGCTTGCTTAGCACAGATGAGGCACTGGGTTCGGTACTCAGCACCATATAAAAATAAATAAAATAAAGGTACTGTGTCCATCTACATAAAAAAAATAATTTTTTTAATTAACTAAATAAACTGCTGGGTATGCAGCCCAGGGGCAGAGTGTTTGCCTAGTGTGTAAGAGGCCATGAGTTGAATCCCCAGCACCACCAAAAAAAAAAAAAAAAAAGTTAGATAAATTGACTCAAGAAGAAACAGAAGGGCTGGGGTTGTGGCTCAGAGGTAGAACACTTGCCTAGTATGTGTGAGGCACTGGATTTGATCCCCAGCACCATATAAAAATAAATAAACAAAAAAAATAGGTACTGTGCCCATCTATAACAAAAAAAAATATATTAAAAAAAAAGAAGAAACAGAAGGAGTGGTATTGTAGTTCAGTGGTAGAGCACATGCCTAGCATGCGTGAGGCACTGGGTGATCCTCAGTACAGCATAAAAATAAATAAAATAAAGGTATTGTGTCCATTTACAACTAAAAAAAAAAATTTAAAGAAACAGAGAATCTCAACAGACCAGAGCTACCAGAATAAAGTTCACAAAAAATATTTAAGCCAAGAACCCTGAAACCAGACAAGTTACTCACAAGCAGCTAAAAGAGCTAATCCATCTATGTAGCAAAATAGTGAAAAAATTTATGCATAGAGAGGAAAAGCCAATCAGGCCCAGTAACTGCTGATTGTTCAGACCAGAATTTTAAGTCAACTTTAAATTTACCTAAAGTATACAGAATCCTGCCAGGTGTGGTGGCACAGACCTGTTAATCCCAGCAGTTTAGGAGGCTGAGGCAGAAGGATCAAGTTCAAACCCAGCCTCAGCAACTTAACAAGACCCTAAGAAACTTTTCAAGACCTTGTCTCTAAATAAAATATTAAAAAAGAAGGGCCAGGGATGTGGCTCAGTGCTTCAGCACCTCAATACTGAAAAAAAGAAGAATCCAGAATCATAATATAAATTTAAATGTTAATCTAAAGAGGACAGATCATTAGAAAAAGGAAATAACCTTAGATAACAAATTTAAAATTCACAATTGGCCTAAAAGTAGTCATCAATTTAAAAAGCATTCAACCATAATATATCAAATAAACTTAATTTCAATAACCTTACTTTAACTTCCTATTTCATCACTATAAGACTATAAAAGCAGTAGTTAATATAAGTAACAAGAATTCTTTCTCCCTGTATAAGTTAATATCAGACTGAATGATTCACTGATAGTCAAAAATTTAATACTGCAACCCAAACAATCAAATCATTATTAAACATACTATTAACCCAACACAGGTATGCATCAGGGAAAGAGTTTAAAAAGCAAAAGCAACTTGGCAAACATAAACCCCATCTTTTTACCAAAAACATCACCTCTAACATCACCAGTATTAGAGGCAC